TTATTTTATTATGATTTTTTGAGATGGAGTCTTGCTATGTCACCCAGGCTGTGTGTAGCACAGTGGTGCAATCTCGGCTCACTGCAAACTCCACCTCCTGGGTTCAAGTGATTCTCCTGGTTCAGCCTCCCAAGTAGCTGGAATTACAGCCTGCCACCACACCTGGATAATTTTTGTATTTTTACTAGAGATGGGGTTTTGCCATGTTGGCCAGGCTGGTCTCAAACTCCTGACCTCAGGTGATCCACCTGTCTTGGCCTCCCAAAGTGCTGGGATTTACAGGCGTGAGCCACTGTGTACAGCCTTAAGACCCAAATAAAAACAGGTTGTCACAGCATAGCAGAATCATATGTAATACATTACATATGTGTCTCACATATGTATAAATACACTGTATTCATTTATTTTTTACCTCATTGCTTTTGGGTATTTTTTCTTAAGCACCTTTTCCTTTCATTAAAAGTTGTGTAGATTTAGGCAGGGCGCGGTGGCCTACGCCTGTAATCCCAGCATTTTGGGAGGACGAGGCGGGCGAATCACGAGGTCAGGAGATCGAGACTATTCTGGCTAACATGGTGAAGCCCCGTGTCTACTAAAAATACAAAACAACAACAACAACAAAATTATCTGGGCGTGGTGGTGGGCGCCTGTAGTCCCAGTTACTCCGGAGGCTGAGGCAGGAGAGTGGCGTGAACCCCAGAGGTGGAGCTTGCAGTGAGCAGAGATCATGCCACTGCACTCCAGCCTGGGTGACAAAGCAAGACTCTGTCTCAAAAAAAAAAAAAAAAATGTAGATTTAATGTGTACATTAATGTGTACAGTATGCTCTTTTGATATAACTATCCATAGTGAAATAATTACAGAAAAGCAAATTAACATATTCTTCCCCTTACATAGTTGCTACTTTTTGTAATGATGTGTGTATGGCAAAAGCACCTGAAATTTACTTTCTTTAGTTATGCAGGATGAATTAGTCTAGCGATCTAATGGATTGACTCTTTTACTGTGTGAGAGCATAGTCATGTGGTTCTTATTGTTTAACTAAAATAATTTTTTGTTGTTAAATCAAAGAGGAATATTCAGGAAAGGTCAGGTCTGGTGGCTCAAGCTCTTCCTCACATGATAGAGAACTGCTTTGAGGAGACTGTGGGAATCACATGTCTGTTGCTAACTTGAGTTCAGTCTTCTCTGTACTTATGTATTCTCTTGACCTCAGGCTGTGCTGTCAATTTTTTCTCTTCTGAGGGTTTTTTTGAAATGAACATAAAAGGAAATCCTTTAAGACTATTCAGATCCTTGCTATGCAAAAATTGCGTTGTTGAAAGAGGTCTTAGACATGATCTAACGCAATTCCCAAACTTTATGTGGAATTCTGATTTCTGAGATGGCCAGGACACTTTATTTTTATTTTTATTTTCAAGACAGGGTCTTGCTCTGTTGCCCAGGCTGGAATGTGTGGAGTGATCACAGCTCACTGAAGCCTGGACGTCCCGGGCTCAAGCGATCCTTCACTTCAGCGTCCCGAGAAGCTGGGACAACAGGCATGTGCCAGCATGCCTGGCTAATTTTTTGTAGAAATAGTGTTTTGTCATGTTACCCAGTCTGGTCTCAAACTCCTGGGCACAAGCAATCTCCCTGCCTCAGCCTCCCAAAGTTCTGGGATTGCAAGCATGAGCCGTTGTGCCTGATCAACCAGGACAGCTTAATGGGAATTTCATATTTCTCATGCTTGAGTCATATCCCCTTACCCAGAAACTGGGAAAACATCCCCACTGAAAACCCAAATAGGTGGTACTACTTTCCCAATTTTTACGTCAACAAACCAAGGTAATTTCATTCGAAGGAATTAGAGTTAATATTATGTATTTTTCAGCAAATTGATTCTGTGATGACATTTGATGACCTACAAAAAAATGTGTCCCAGTGTTTCTTCAGTGTTCTATATTAGGGCCCTTTTACACACAAACTCTGCGGTATTCCTTTCCACCAGCTCTGCCCAGCACTAGCCTGGTTACTTCATTTCCATTTGTCAAATCACTATTCGGGGGTAGTTGGTCATGTCAGTGTGTTTAAGCCATGTCACATTATTTTGTTAGTCAGGTCCTATGTGTCCCAAGAGTCCTTGAAGAAACTCGCTGGTCTCTTTAGATCCTAGCAAGGAAAGACTAGAAATGCCTCCTTCTAATTTGGTGATTATTCTTATAGAACAGACTGCTTTGGCAATAAGGTGCCAAATACTGCTACTCAGAGCTTATCTGATTTGCATGCAGCTAAACTACCTCTGTGTACTCAGCTGCATGTCCCTATAGAAAAACCACCTTACTATCTTTAGGACTTCACTGTCCATTGTCCTATTCTGGAATAGACAGTAGCTCTGACTATAAGTTAAAATGGGCTCCATTAAACACTGGCGGGCTCTTGCATTTCTCTCACTTGGTCCTTCACTGACAAATTCACATAGTGCAAAGATCATGGGCAAGCTGTAACTCTTCTCTGGAGCGCCAAGCTGGCTGCCCCTAGGAAACTTACGTTCCACTCTCCTAACTGGTCTGATTAAAGCACAGACCACTTGAGAGACAAGGAGGTTGGAAGAGTATCGATGCTCAGGTCTCCAATCACCCACATATTTGTATGAGAGCCTTGGACTCCTGGACCCAAAGCCACTGTAATTACTTTATAACTTAAAAATCATGGTTTTCAGTTTTAAAAATTCACGTAGAAATGGAAGTCACTGTGCTGGAAACGCGTCTTTCCTTTCTGAGTTCTGTAATGTTATGTTATCTTCATTTGTTTACAATAGAAGGAGATGGTCCTCCTGGCTGCCAGTGAGTGAGGTAGCAGAGTAGAGCTGCTTTCTAAAATCAGAGCTAATATTCAGCACCAGCTTCTATGGTCTTGTGTTTTGATGTGCTGACTATTGGGCCTACAGAAATACACCTTCTGTTTATGCTTCCAAGTGTTCCTTTTATCTCTAGATAAAAGTGTACAGGGGAAGTTGCCAAAATTAGTCCACCTTTTGGGCCCAGGCCATAGTTAAACTTAGATCAGTTTACAGATCAAAGAGTTCCATTCTGATCCAAATAGCTGCAGGCCAGCAGCATGGCTGGTGGCAGTATGAAGTGACTGAACACCTTCTGATTTGGAATATCTGAGCAATACTTTCTGGGCTGCAAGGCACAAAAAGAGGCAGGATGCATGTCTGCTTTTGAAACGACTGTCTACCTTCCAGGATTTGACAGAGGAGCACTTGTTTAGACTTTGGTGTATAATCCAGTGGGAAGCTCCCAGATAGTCCTAAAGGCTGCCGCAGGGGGTCGCTATGAAGGCGGGTACTCTCCTCTCCTCAATACACACAGAGTTAATTTTGTTCACAGTCCTTCCATGCTTCCTTTAGGTAAAGCCAGACTGTCGAGGTTTCTTCTTTGCCAGGTGGTAGCAACTCCCCACCCAACTCTCTTTTTCATTTTGCATTTCGGTTCTGATTTTTAGAGTCTTAGACTGCTGTCCCTGGGGAGAGTAGGAGCAGACAGAAGATTTTTGGGCTCTGTGAATCAATAGGGTCACCAAATTATTTACTATCCAAACCAGCACACTTTTGTCAGTGAAAGAGGCACTGTTGGTAATTAAATCTGGACTAGAGTCAACTGAGACTCTCCTGGCAAACTGCGATGTATGGCCATCCTCTGCGTAGAGAATTGGGTGACTTCTGGCTCTAGAGACGCAAATCGAATGCTTCTTTTCCTGTGCATGATTGGGCATTTTTAGTCACTCCTCTAAATTATTATAGACTATCATTTTCTGCTCTTGATAGCAAATATAGCAATAAGAAAAAAAATTGGATAATAAATTTTCTTATGACTCAAAACACAGCCCCCTTGTTAAATAATATTGCTTCAGAATAGATTTTCTTGCAAAGAAAATGTTCTGTACAAATTCTTTAAAGAAGTCTTTCAAGTGGATTTTTAAAAAATGATGCCACCACCCACTACTTACAAAGAAAGTCTTGAAAGGGAGCGGCAACTCCTCAGGCCATTTCTAGCAAAGAGATGTACAATCAGTACCAGCAACACAAAAATGCTCCTGTAACTGCACCCAAACTATTTTTTGTGCCTAACAAATTTTTGTCTTCAAGCTGCAGTTGTATGGCTGTGTTTCCTTTCTGTTTGTTTTACCACTTCCCTTCGAAATATTTTGCATCATCCTGGAGATTTTCCCAAGTTGTGGTCTGCTCGCTGGGGGGCCGAGCTCCTCTGATTTGCTGCATGAGGCTGTGTTGCCATGGCAGGGGTTGTTTACCATAGATGAACACTTGACAGGATGGGCACCTCCCACAGCCATTCCAGCCTCCTTTCCTCCTCTTCTCCACTCGCTTAGATATTCTGAGACAGCAGCCCAGATATGGCTTTCTCTAATCGTAAACTACATTCCCGGAGCGTGAACTTGACTTTGCTATGCTTTCGAGATAGGGAAATGTTTGGCTCTGTTTATTCCTCTTAAACTGGGCAGTGTCCTCTTGACTTTTATGACTAATCCACTTGTCATGGCTGGAATCTCCTAACAATTCTTTCCCTCAGGTAAATCACATCACTCAGACTTGTGAAGCAAAAATGCCACTGAGGCCAAAGGGTGACCTTTTGGTGGTCGCAGCCCATTCACCTGACAGGTCTCTGTTGCCCAGGAGGATTTTTTTTTCTCCAATAAAAGGAAAGCTTAGTCAGAACCTGACAAGTCTTGCTCCCTCACATTCCTGCAGAGGAACCAGCCTGGGGAGAGATAAGAGCCGTGGGTTGACACCCTGATTATGCTTACCTTTTTATTTGTTAAATGTGGAAATTGACTTCATCCAATTAATAAGAGCAGGAAACAGTTTTTGTTTTGTCTTTGTAGGAAAACATGAGGTAACGGTTTTATCTCAATTTGTCAGGCATTGCCCAAGAGACTACAGTCATGTGGGCCGGTGGCCAAAAAATTGCTCTAAGGCCCAAGTATTAACACCCAGATATAAAAAGAATGCTAATTGGTTTTCCAGCTGAAAAATAATAAGGGATTTGCTGCCAAAAATGCTGTATGGCCTGGAAACCCCAAGTTTATACAATAGGGCCTGATTGCAATCTGGGGGCTCCATTTGTCCTCCTATGAAGAGCTAAACAAAGGGAGGTGTTTCGCTCCTCTGCCTTTGTAGAAAGCTCCGCTCCAGATCTCAGCCTGGTGGAACACCAGGCTTCCCACAGTCTTCCTGCCAAATCCCCAAGTTTTTTCCTGGCTGCCATTCAGGAAAGTACAGCTTCGTCTGTAGGATGGAAAGTTAAAAAGGCCTTGCTTGGATACGCTGAAATATATACAAACACTGCCTGACGTATGGAGTAGGCTGCTGCCGCTGGCATCCTAGCAGAAAGAATGTGAAACTTTTAAAAGTCATTTTGGGTAAGTGATTGAGATGTTAGCTGGAAGAAGAGACTTTTTTTGTTGTTGTTTATTTTTGAAAAAAGAAAATTCAGCATTCCCCTTGATCTTCAACAGTTATCTACCTTAGTTTTCTCATTGGTAAAATGTCAGCTAACCTCCAAGATCCCGTTCAGTTCAGGGGCTTGTCTCTAACTTGAGGACCGGGTGTAGCATATGTAGAAAATACTGGCTGTCTACTGAATATCTTTGAAAAGGTCCCTGGAAGTGAGTTGGGATGAAAGTCAAAGTCTGGAGCACTGGCATGGTAAATCCCAGGCTGGTACTCCGATGCATATTGGCGGGGTGCCATCCTGCCTGTGACTTCACACTACAACTCCAGGTCTATATCACTTATGGGAATGCACCTGAATTAAAATGATTGCATAATACTTACAACTCTGTTCTCTTTATTTCCAGTTGATGGTAAATATCATGGCAAAATTCATAGCATTTAATTAATCTTACCCATAATGTTTTTAAGTTGTAGTTAATACTAAAATACACTATCTTTTCACCAATCATGGTCATAGACTATTATCCTAGTCATGTATGTAATGATGCAACTAAGTTAAAGAGTTTTTTTTTTTTTTAAAAGAATTACTTTGAAAAATGAAGTAAGACATATTCTCAACAACCAACTTCTGCCAAAATATGCAAAGAATAAAACAGGCCATAAGAATCCATTGATGTGTACAAAATTATTTTTTGACAGAAACAGGCAAGTAACTATGTTTGTTGCTATCAATGCTTTTCTCTTGTTTATTACTTTCCGTTATTATTAATGTGTTTGCCCTTAAAGTAGTGACGCAACATGGAATGTATGTAAGAGTTTAGGGGTGGGGAGCAGTGGCTCACACCCGTAATTCTAGCACTTTGGGAGGCCAAGGTGGGCAGATCACCTGAGGTCAGGAGTTCGAGACCAGCCTGGAAAACATGGTGAAACACTGTTTCTACTGAAAATACAAAAATTAGCTGGGCATGGTGTTGGGTGCCTGTAATCCCAGCTACTCAGGAGGCTGAGGCAGGAGAATTGCTTGAACCCGGGAGGCAGAGGCTGCAGTGAGCCGAGATCGCACCACTGCACTCCAATCTGGGCGACAAGAGCACACCTCTGTCTCAAAATAAAAATAAAAAATATAAAAGAGTTTAGGAAGCATTTCTTAAAACCTGCTGGGCCTCAAGACTTTTTACCTTTAGGAGACACTAAGAAGTAGAAGGAGCATGGAGCTAGTGTTGCTGACCTTTCATTAGGTTCACTCCACCAGGTTAAAATTAATTTTCTGGCGTCCCACATCCTTCCGTGTGGACTCCAGTCTCCTTGGGCACACTCCTGCCTCTGTGATTTTCTACTTACTCTTTCTTTCACCTGGAGTGAGGGAGCTCTCTTCTCTCCATCTCTCCATCTTTTGGGATTTAGTTCAATCCCCACATGATTTGTGAAGCCTCCTCAGACCACTCCAGTGCGCTTTGTTTCCCACTTCTCTGAACTCTCATTGCTCTTATCATTTTCAGAAACAAGGTAAACACATGGAAGATTCAAGTGAGAATTGAACTGGAACCCAGAAGGTAAAGATGATACCCTTTTTTCTTGCAAAGGGCAGAGACCCACTCAATTGTCTCAAACTAAGGAGAAGTTATTGTAAACCTACAAAGTCCAAGAAACGGGCCTTTCGTAATGTAAACTGGAAACCTCTTGGAAGCCGAGGCAGCTCTCTCTGACTCTCAGGATCACACAGTACCCCTCCGACTCTTTCTTAGGCATGTCTACTTTCATTTTCTTCCCTTTTCTCTCTTCCAGATTTTTAATTTCTTCCAATTTCTTTGTCATTTCTGGTTTTATGCTTCAGCTCAACTTCCCCCAAATATCTGAATTAGACTTAGGATCTTTGTTCCAAATTTAAAGGGATTGGATCATCTTGTGCTGCGTATCCAGCCTTCTGTTCAATCAGTGTTGTTGGCAGGGCAGGGCAGTGTGGTACAAACAGCTGCCTAAACCACTCCTACTGCAGCCTGTAGATGGAGGAGTAGACAGCTACTCCAGGAGATATCCGCAGCCTACAGAGTTGTATTATTCACTTTAGGCAAATTTCTTAAGGGCAAGGAATAGATTTCTGTTTGCTTACTCCTATTACTGTGTTTGGCACAGGCCTGTTCAGCTGTCCCAGTGATTCTCAACCCTGGTTGCACATTAGAATCAATTTTAGGTGCATTTCGGTGTCTACTCCTCTCCTTGTCACCACCACAAGGAGTGCTGATTTCATTGTTTTGGGGATATGGCCCAGACATCAAACATCAAGAGCTGGGTTTTCCAGATAGCAGCCTTGTTCCTACTGAGGACAGGGCTACAGAAAGCGTTACTGCTGTGGGTGGAGAAGTGACTACCTTTGTAGTGGGAAACATGGTGGAAATTGAAGAGCTGTTAAAGAGGTTAAAATTCTTGCTTGGCCTTTGTAGTAGGGTAACTATATATTACATTCATGCTGTTTTAGATAGACTGGATACCAGTAATATTGGTAACTTTAGAAAGAGATAATAAAATTTTTAACTTTTGCATTTTTTGCTTTTTTCGATACCCATAACTTGTTCAAATGTGATAGTCTGAATATTTCCCAAAGGCTTTTCCTTTATCACATAATCAATGAATACATCTTCAAAATGAAGAACTGTTCCTATATTCTTTGAAAATGTTGTTTCATAGGACTAGGAACATTTAAGACTTAACAACAAAGATGACAACACAGAGTGCTAACTGGATGATAATTGTTTTAGTTTTTCCAGTGGTAACTCTAAAATCAGCATTTGATAAATTTGAACTGTGTTGTTTGCCTCCAGAATTGCAAGGAGTCGATTTGCTGCAGGCACTACATAGAGACACTCCTTCAGTGTATCCTTCACAAGGTCCTGGTGGTTGCCAAGGTTTGCCTCAGGTGTTAAAACCAACAGATGTGATTCACCAGTTGGAGAATTTCTTAAAGTGATTTCTGGAGTTTTTGAATATGGTCAGTGAAACCAAGGAGTTTCTATTGAGTTGGCTCAAGTTTTGATTCTTGAAAGAAAAGCACTACCTTTTCTGACAAGTGCTTCTGCAGCCACCTTGGGACATTTGTTAACAACCTCTGCAAGTCAGTCCATCCCTTATGATCACTTTGGTCATGATTTTGGTACAGAATGTGAATCACGGACTTTTACATTCCCTACCCGAGTTTCTCTCTCTGAGGAGGACCTAGTTTGCCAAATTACCTGCAATTACTCCTATGGAAGGCCTGGTAGTAGTAACTTCTTTGACAAAGGGCCTTGAGAGAGAATACCATGGAAGATATCATCATAGATTTTCGATACAGCATACCCAGACTCAGTTTCCTTCTGGTGTTACAGCACAGACCAGTTGCAATACTAGTACCTCGTTATCACAGAGCATCTTGTCCTGGACTATTTGACTATGAGGATCTCTTAAATTTACCACCATGTGTCCAACCAACACTGAATGGTCAACAATATAAATTGTAATGCTAATTCTTAAGGATCCTTTGGGGATGGTGTCAATGGCTTATCCTTTCTCTAGCATAATATTGGCTTTGTTTGGGCAGAAGAAGTAGAGATACCACCACTGCAGGCTGACCAGGGGTTAGTGTATCTGCACTGACTGGAAGGTGCTCTGGAGTATGCAATCCTGTGCAGGAGATCCTGGTGACCATCTTGGCAAGAAAGCTGTGCTTGTTGGATGGGCACAACAGTTAAACAAGAGGATGGCTCCTTACTTGCTATGACCTCTGCAATCTTGCCCCATTTGGCAAAATTGATTATAGGAATTTTGCATATGTCAGATTTGATCCAAAATGAAATGACTAAAAGAAGATTCATTGATGATTTCATTGTGAAATCTGCTATAACATTATTCTGCTGCACATTATCAAAGAAGTGCCTTGTTTAGTAAAGTACAGAGATGGCACAACTTAGCACCATGTACATTTTGCTAGTTCTGTGTTGAAAATCTAAATCTGAAAAATTTGACCATTATTTATGAGAAGTCTATTTCTATTATCCCACAAGACTGTCAGGTGTGTTCATGAAGCAGCAACACAATAGCTGAATGAAAAATCTATTGTGGGATCTCCAAACGTTCAGAAGCATAGCAGGCTTTTTCTTTTACAGACTTCTGATTTTGTTGCCATGAGGCAACACGTAATCTCATCATCATGTAAATCCTAGGGAGCAAACTTCCTGGCAGAAATCTTTCAGTGTGCCCCAAAACAGCACTTTAAATGTAGGGTCTACTTGGGTATTGGAGTGGAGGTTGCTTTCTAGAATTTCTTATTGTTATCCAGTTTAATTTTGAAGAGGAGCTCTTCATCATTTCCTCTCTCCCACACTCCATTCCCCTCCCTCTTTTGTTCTCTTCTTCAACAAATGTTGAGTTATCTCAAAACTGTATGATGAGCTTCTAGTGAAGATACCAGTATTAAATATGATCCTCACCCTCACAAAACTTTCTTCTTGTGGGGAGAGAGTATAGAAGAAACATATTGCAACCATGCTGGATGGCAGGAATTATATTTGAAGTGTTGTGGAAAACACAACTGGTCACCTAATCAATCCTGGATGGAGTGGGACAGTTGAATGAGAAGGTGTAGTGTTAGGGGTGGTATCTGGAAGAGATGATCCCGGGTGTTGTTGGGAAGGTGGAAGAGAGCCTGTTTAAAGATGTGGGGGTGGAAAATGGAGGTAGACAAATGCATAAAGTCAAAGGATTAGGCGGCATCAAGGGAGTGGCAAATAGTTCTGTGTTACTGAAAAGTAAATTAGATGGGTTGGGGAGGTTGGAGTACAAGAAGTGACTAGTGAGGTAGGCAGACTAAGTCAGGAATAATGTTGTATTTGTTTATGTTAAAGATTTTGAAATTTTGCTGAAGAAGTATGAAGACATTAAAGAATTTTAATGATCAAATTTTCCTGTTACCCAGATCATTCTAGTGTTGTGTAGAGTATAGACTGGATGGCAAGTCTGGAGGTATAAAACCTATTAGAAGGCTATGGCAATCGTCCAAGGGAGTAATGATGAGGGTCTGATCTAAGGCAATGACAGTGTGATGGAGAGGGGAGGATAGGCTAGAGAGAATTTGAAAGGATATAATTGACAGGACTTGTGCTCAAATAGATTTGGTGAAAAACAAAGTACAAACAGGCCTTTGTTGATGAGGTCTTTATTGCTGTAAAGACCATCTATTCCAACCATGTCTAAAGTCCCTGGAGATCCAACCAGAGGAATTCGAGCTGAACAACGGCAAAAACTCGTAACTCCACAGAACACATATCAAACACTCTGTGCTGTGTCACATGCTTGCGAAGGTCCATATTTTAGATTCTCCAAATTTTTTAACTTTTCTCAGGGAATATCCTCTCTAAACAACTGTTGGAGATACAACAATTAATTTTTCTAGCATAGAGCCCCAGGATTAGCCTCCATATACTTTTCCTTCTACAGTTAATTTGTTCTTTTTCCAACTCTATCATAAGCTTTAAATCCATGTCTTTTTAATAATTATTTCCATAACAAACACTCTTATCTAAAAAGTCATGGCAGCCATTATAATTTGACCTACTCATAAAACTGTTTCTTTTCAGCTGTTTTTGCTCTTCAATCAGTTAAAACTAATATTAACATATTAGTTTAGTTTCTACATTGTTGCATTACTGCTAGTGATTGTTTTTACATTCTGCAAGCACAGATGTCCACATGTAGTGGAGAAGGCTGCCCCTGAACTGTAGCTATTCTTTCGTGGAGTCTTGAAGGGTTTCCATACTCAAGAGTGGGCAGTTAAGGGGAGCAAGCAGGGAAACCAGACAGGAAAATTGTGATTGGCCAAAGGAATGTCTGTGGAGCAGTAAAGTCAGTTGCAAGTCTTACCTTTTGTACATTAAATGGTGACAGTGACTTTTTACTCTCACTCTAAAATCCACATTGTAGATGTCTAAAGAAATGGAATCATCAGTCTGAGGACTATGACGTCTTGCTCATTTACTGAGAAGTCAGATTTCGTACAACTTCAGTCTACACCTGAACATGGGTGTAAGACAAGAAAGAGTGCCACACACCAGAGTGGCTAGTGAGAAGCTCAGAGGCTGGATCTAGGCCCTTATTCTAAAATTCACTGCCTTGAATCAAATGTATCTTACACGTAACTCTTAGCCAGCTCAGTTATCTATTTTTCAACCCCCAAAAAAGATTAGAAGTGAATTAGAGGTAGGCTTTCTGGCAGCAACAGACAGATTTGAGAACTGACAACTTAATAGCAAGGGAAAAACATTAAAATGGAAAGAAAGCATGGAATTGTGCTCTGCATTATAGCATAATGGAAGACAAGATAGGTCAAGTTATGCACCACTGTTATCAAGGAAGATTAAATTACAACTTGTGTGTGTGTGTGTGTGTTTTTTTTTAAACACAGTTATCTGTGTTCCCCCAATCCCCAGGAAGATTGCCACCAAAATTTGTCAAATAGAGCTGAGGAATTTAAAGGTTTTCATTACTTGGAAAACTAGTAACTTAAGAAATCTTTCTTCTCTTATAGTTTCTGACACTGTCTTGCAGATAAGTCACACACACACACAGACACACACACAGACACAGACACACACACAGACACACACACACACCTGAGTGTCTCTGTTGTATAAGTACTCTTAGAACTGCTCCTCCCACCCTCTAGTTACCACCTGACTCCCTCTCTCATTTGCTATCCTCATCCTTTTTTCTCCTTTCCTTTCTGTACACATCAGCACTCTGCCTTTCCTTAACTGTTGTAGTTGAGCACCGAATCATTTTCCAAATAGCCAAAAATGGTAAAGAATATGATATTGTTCTTCCCATTTAACCCTTTTCCCATTTAGAAAAAATGTGCAGCTCTCTGCCAGCACTCATTTAATTTTACCTAAACACGCTCTTTGAGGCTGAAGGAAATCTGACTGATTTTCAATGTAAAAATAAAATATAAAAACTGTCCTTGGGATTATTTCAAAACAGAACTAACATCAGAATTGTCTGGATCATCAAAATTGTCTATTTCAGAAAAATCAGATTCATCAAATGAATCTTCGGCCAACAACTGTTCGAGAACAATGTTAACATCATGCACAAGAATGCTATGTTGTCTAGGAGTTGACATTTTCGGCAATCAAGAATTACTATACTTTGTAAATGAGAATACCGCTACAGAATACTATAAACAGAATGATGCCTTTTGTTTCCAAAGTCGATATACGAGAGTGATGTGAAAGTAATAATAAAAGCAAGATATTTTGTGGCAAAGTTATCTCTAGGTAAATGCTATATTTGGAAGTGCTGCCAGCAAGTATCCTTAGGGCAATAAAATGAGTTTTCAATGCTTTTCAGTATTTAATTGGCATGCAGTGAAGACAGTCAGCCCTCAGCCCTCTGTATCCAAAGATCTTTGACCTGTAGATTCAACCAATTGTGGATCAAAAATATTTGGAAAAAAGAATTTCTGGAAAGTTCCAAAAAGCAAAGGAGAAATTCTTCCAAATATTTATAACTTTTGCATAGAAGATTATATACTGAGAGAAAGTCAGGAGACCCAAATTTAAAATGTTATAATAATCAATAATAACTTGGTAAACTATATCAGAATGGATAAAGCTTCATTTAATATTCATCTATATTAAAAGACATCCCTCCCAAATTCTCATAAATCATATCAACCCACTTCTGTAGTCATTATTTCTACTACAACTATGATGGTTAAATTTTATGTTAAAAGTAATGTATCAGTTTAGTCAGAATTTATAATTCTATAGAAACAAATGCTTTGACTTAAGGTTTCAAATATATTCTTAAAAATGACTTCATTGTCATGCAAGGGATTTTTGTATGTGTAACTCTTGTGTTGGAGATGACTGAAGCCAAAGGGATCATGATTAATTTATATGAGTATCACACTTTTATTGGGTTGAGTTTCCACTTAAAAGACTGGTCTGGCTGGGTGTGGTGGCTCATACCTGTAATCCCAGCACTTTGGGAGGCCGAGGTGGGTGGATCACAAGGTCAGGAGATCGAGATTATCCTGGCTAACACGGTGAAACCCCATCTCTACTAAAAAAAAAAAAAAAAAAAAAATTAGCCAGATGTGGTGGCGGGCACTTGTAGTCCTGGCTACTAGGGAGGCTGAGGCAGGAGAATGGTGTGAACCTGGAAGGCGGAGCTTGCAGTGAGCCAAGATCGCACCACTGCACTCCAGCCTGGGTGACAGAGCAAGACTCCGTCCAAAAAAAAAAAAGAAACTGGTCCACTGACCAAGGCTGACCTGGATACATGCCCAATTATGTAGGCTGAGTGCCCAATTTGCCAGCAGCAGAGACTAACACTGAGCCCTCAATATGGCACCATTCCTCAGGGTGATCAGCAAGCTACCTGGTGGCAAGTTCATTACATTGAACTTCTTCCATCATGGAAAGGACAGACTTTTGTCCACACTGGAATAAACACTTACTCCGGATATAGATTTGCCTATCCTTCACTCAATGCTTCTGCCAAGACTACGCATCTGTGGACTCACAGAATGCTTCATCCACCATCATGGTATTCCACACAGTATTGCCTCTGACCAGGGCACTCACTGGATAGCTAGAGAAGTGCGGCAGTGGGCTCACGCTCATGGAATTCACTGGTCTTACCATGTTCCCCATCATCCTGAAGCAGTTGGATTGATAGAATGGCAGAATGGCCTTTTGAAGTCACAGTCACAATGCCAGCCAGGTGACAATACTTTGCAGGCTTGGGGCAAAGTTCTCTAGAAGGCTGTGTATGCTCTGAATCAACCTCCAATATATGGTACTGTTTTTCTCACAACCAGGATTCATGGGTCAAGGAATCAAGGGATAGAAGTGGAAGATCACCCCTAGTGATCCACTAGCAAAATTTTTGCTTCCTGTTCCTGCAACATTACATTCTGCTGGCCTAGAGGTCTTAGCTCCAGAGGGAGGAATGCTGCCACCAGGAGACACAACAACAACTCCATTAAACTGGAAGTTAAGATTGCCACCTGGACACTTTGGGCTCCTCCCACCTTTAAGTCAACAGGCTAAGAAGGAAGTTACAGTGTATTTTGGAAATCAGAGAATATTTTGGAAAATAATCAATGGTATTGGTGATTGAGGTGGGTATGGAGATAAGGAAAATGGAGGAATCAAAAATAGCTCCAAAATTCCAAGCCAGAGAGGGAACTTAGAAAAATGAAAGTATTATTTAGCAAAATGGAGACATAAAACAAGGCAACCTTTATTATCTCTGTTTTATATATAATTAAAGTAAGGGAGGTAAAGGAAATCTGATATTTCCAAGTATTCTCAATAAAAATGGATTATACAAGAACAAACAGGAAAAAAAAAAAAAAAAGACTGGAAGAAATGTCTTCATTAGTAGGTTCAGGAAGCTGCCATCAGCTTCCACATTTGGAGGTTGTACCAAATGTATGAAACTATTGGAAAGAAGCCGTGTAAGAGAAAACTGTGGTTAGTCACTAGTTATTCTCAGGTGACGTGCTCAATGCCTTCTGAAAGCTGTATCTGGTGTTTTTCTAACCCTAACCTAGGGTTTCTCAACCTCAGCACTATTGATATGTTGGGCTGAAAACCTCTATGTATTGTCGGGAGACTGCCTTGTGCATTCTATGATGTTTAGCGTTATAATATCCTTGGCCTCTACTCATAGATGTCAGCAGTAACTCCGAGTGTTAACAACCAGTAGTATCTCAAGACATTGCCAAATGTGCCTGGTGGTGAGCAGGGGTGGTGGTAAAGAGGGAATGGATAAATTAACCCCACTTGAAAAATCAGTGCCCTAATTATAACTCCAATCCATTGAATTAACATGCTATCATTGTTCTTGAGACATAATATCCCAGAAAAGTTTCTACTGTCCACTGAGATAACAAAAATGGGCATTGTTCTCCAACCCATTCTCTGAGTCATTCTACCTGACTGTAACTCCATTATCTGTAAAATATCCTGGTTGCATTGGGCCCAAGGTATTAGTTAAGCATTTTATGTCCCCTCCCAGAATTCACACTTCTCTTGTCTAATTTTCTTGTCTCTTTGTTGGTCTTAAGCCTTGTCATAAGCCTGCACCTAGTTAGTGTGCACTTAAGTATGTAGTGTGACCATGCAGCCTGATTTGTTCATATCGGTCCTGGAGTATGCCTGTTAGCTAGGCTAATAATTAATAATGGTACCCATTGTTAGCCTTAAATGTGTTCTGGTTTGGATAATAAATCATGGTCATCCTTTTATGCCACTCTGGAAATAAAAAGGATGTATTCAACTTTGATGAAAAAGATGGTGAAATTAAGATTCAATTGAAAATGAAATATATAAGAATATATATTTACCTCTTTCCTCCCCCATTTCCCCATTCCATGAACCTGAAGAACAAACCCCTTAGGAGTGAAGGGTGCTTAAGAGTAGACCAGAAGTTTGAATTTGTTCCCAGAAGGCTGAAGCAGCTGAATGCTTTTTAGTAGATGATCTGGAATGGTGCTGGCAACAGCCCATAACTTGCAGTAGAGAAGGTTGCCTCAGGACTGTTGCCCTTCTTTCTGACAGATCTTTGTAGAGTTTTTATATCTTTTTGGCAGCAGATCTGCTGGTCAGAATTGGGAGGAGGATAATTAATTGAAGAACTATCTATGTAACAGCTAATTGAATTAAGTCTTGCCAAATGTGTAATTAATGTTAGCTTTTAACTCACTTCAACCGGTCCCTATGTAAATCAGAAGATTTATCCCTACAGAAATCCAACGATCTTCTCAAGGAGTACTATAACTTCTAATATAGGCCTTGGCATTCCAGAACAAAAATGCGAGATGAATGGGAAGCCAGTTTGTATCACTTTCTTCTCTATTCCTTCCTAAAGTGAAGAATGCCACATCCCATTGAGAGACAAAACTTCAGAAGAAACGCATGCCAGCTACATAATCCTTTACCAACCAATATGAATGGCTAAGCAAGGACCACTACTCATTAAAGAAAGTAAATAATGGAAATAGGATGATCAAAGTGAACAAGCAGAATAAATGGCTTGAAAGGAAACAGTATACATAAGGGAAATTTTAAAAAAAGGTTATCGGTGTCTTCAAAAAATTCTAACTAGATGATGCATCCTGAAGGTATATAAGCTTAGACTGCTGTAGAAAATGAGTACTTAGAGAACAAGCAAGAGTTCCTGGAAATAAAGAAATAGTTGCCCAAATTTAAAAAATTAAGTGAAGGGAAGATATAATAGAAGAAAAGAAATAATAGAAAGTAAAGACAATTAACTATTTCAGAATATACAGCAAAAAAGATTTAAAAGTTAAATATAAATAATCAATTCAGGACAGTGACCATCTATCCATTAGAAATTGAACAAGAGAATTCTGGGAAGATGGCAGAGTAGGAGGCACCAGAAATCTGTCTTTCCACCTAGACAACAATCAAATAGGCAAATTCTGTCTAACGTAACTCTTTTGGAACTATGGAGTCTATTAAAGGCTTGCAACTTTCAGGGAAGGCATGAACAGTGAATTGTGGTTAATTTCAGTCATTTTCAGCCCTTAACACAGTAGCAGCTACCAATCCCCCACATCTCCAACCCCATGACAGGCAACTATGCTTGTGTTCCTAGAGCAAACTGCACACAGCATGCAGGAGCCAGGGTTAGCAAAAAAAGACTCTGCCCTCCAAATATTGGGGATATATGCTCTGATTGCTGCTGCTAATCACAGAGGTGCAAAGAGGCAGGCAGCCACCATTGCTGCACCTCCCTACATTATTGCAAACCCCTCCCCTTCAAGCTGAAATGACTTCTAGGGGATTTCATAACCTGGAGCTCTTTTTTCTACTCCATTTTTCTCTTTTTCCCATTTTTGGAGTCAAACGTTAAAGACTGGGGCATTCAAAAACAATTGTATATATAGATATATAGGGACAATTAGAAAGTGACTGTTCATGCCCAGAACAGGGACAAAGGCAGTCTACAACAAGAATATATGTGTGTGTGTGTGTGTGTGTGTGTGTGTACAGGTGCATATATACATATATATATGTGTGTATATATACGTGTGTGTGTGTATATATATGTATATATCATCGTCATTGCTATCTTACCTTTCCCTAGTTTCTGTTTTCCTGCACATAAATTTCTTCCTTGCTATGTAAACCCGTAATTTTAGTCAGCCAAGGAGATGGATTTGAGACTGATCTTCAGTATGAATTTGTTCTCATGCTGCTAATAGAGACATACCCAAGACTGAATAATTTATAAGGAAAAAGAGTTTTAATGGACTGAAAGTTCTACCTGGCTGGGGAGACCTCACAATCATGGTGGAAGGTGAAGTGGGAACAAAGGCTCGTCTTACGTGGCAGCAGGCAAGAGAGTATATGCAGGAGAACTGCTCTTTATAAAACCATCAGATCTCATGAGACCTATTCACTGTCATGAGAACAGCACAGGAAACACCTGCCCCCATAATTCAGTTACCTCCCACTGGGTCCCAAACCATATCATCTCCCATCTCCCATTGGTCGCAGCACCTTA